GCCGCCACACCACCTGCACCACCACTAAACCCGCTCTAGTACTGCATTAAAACCGGTTCTCACCCCTGCTGCTCGAAGTTTCACCAAATCGCATTTCTTAGTACGAGTATCAATCATTTATATTTATTGTTCATTGTCTAACAGTCTTGCTCTGAAATCCCAATCGTGTTGATATGGTTGCACCAGCCCGAGAATATTATGGCCGACCCAATGGATGGCATCAATGAGCTCTTGGCTCGCCACCGCGGTCAGCGCGTTCCGGATAATGCAACTGTAGAGATCTACAAAGACGTGAGTTACTTTCCTGCTGCGACTTACCAATCCGCTCATACTCTCTGACCACCACCAGGAGCTACGAGCTCGTGACCAGACAGTAGAAGACATGCGAACGAAAATCCTGCAGCTGCAAGATCTCATTGATGAGCTCAAGGACCAGATCGCAGAGCTCAAGTCCAAGAAGAAGCGCTCCAAGGGGGCTGCGTCCAGCCCTGCTGTTCTCGAGCATGCGACCATCATCGAGTCACGCGCCCGGCTGTATCTCAAGATGTTTGGCCTGTGGATCTCTACCGCCGCACTCAATACCCCTATCACCTTTGATCCCAGGTGTGATTTGTTTAGAGAGAGCCGCTTCACTAACGAGGATGATGAACTTCAAGCCGAAGCGGAGCAAGTGCACATGGTATATCATCTGTTACCCAGTGCTGCAGACGGCACCAACGCGCAGCGGGACGCAATCACGGCACTTATTGGGCGGTCTCCAGGTTTCACGGACCTAGTACGTCGTTCTGAATCTATTTTTGTTGTGCACTTTGAGACGAAATGCTGACGGCAACATAGTTCTCAGCAACTATGAACAGCCACCGGTATACTTTCACTAATTCAATGGGAAAGGCCATGGCCCTACGCCCACCTCCTGGCATCGGTCAAGCCGCTTGGACGAACCGAGCAACCATGGCCAGCGACCCTGTTGCACAACGGCTTCGCGGGGATGTGCAAAACAACTGGCCACCGGTTCTCTTCCGGGAAGACCGCATCAATCAGATCAATGGCTTGTATATGGACGAATGGCTTCCGAAGGTAAGTACGTGGCTTGCGTAAATTTGTACAATCTCAGTTGTTCTCCAGTTGGCAAGGTTTTGTCTCTTCGGACCAACCTCTGTCGATAGCAACGTTCCGGGTAATGCTGGGGCGTTAGAATGGCGATGGTGCTGGATCACGCCACAATTAATAGCATCAACTGGAGTACTAGTAAGTCATGAAACGCTTATTAGAACACGAGCAATTCTTACATCAAACTGATTAAGGTCATTTTTTGGCTCTCTGGAGATGCCCAGCTGCTCCCCATGGGCTGTGAACCAGTGAAACGGGCGTATCAAGACATGTGGAAGGCACATTGCAAGATGCTCATCAAGGAGTGGAATCACCAGCTATTGCCAGCGCGTCGCCTTTGGCAATCCATTGTTTTCCACGGTGTACGGGGCGCTGAAGCATATTCATCATCGCAGAATGCTCAGACTTCGTCCGGCTCTGAGCCGGATCCTGATTTCGGTTCGAACAATGAATTCCTCGAAAATTATGAGCGATGCATGTCGTTGAACGAGAGCAATATGCGGAACACCAGCAGGCCTCCAAGTCCCGCTTCGCTGCATATGCCTATATTTAATTTGTTCGTATTTGTACTGACAACTGGCTTTTCGTACACTCTCAGCTTCCCATTTGTCCTCAGCCTCCCGCACATCATCGGCTTTACCCTCCTTGGCAGCACCGGTGGTCAGCCGGAGTGCACTTTCACATGAGTCGGCTGCCTCCCAGCCCCAGGCCATAGCCGCCACACCAGTCTCCACTGCAGCAAGCGCCATGTCAGGGCGGCGTGCCCCCTCAACTGTTGCGGCATCGCATCTCTTGGCTCCTGATTTGGATGGGGAGGGCGATGGTGAAGCGGGCTGTGCTGAGTCCAGTTTACCATCGATGGAGCATGTCACCACTGATGATGGAGTTGCTGCTGCGGAGAATAACGGTCGCATGAACCAGGCATCAAGTGACTCTACCCGTCGCAGCATACGTCTGACCCATCGTACTTCTGAGGACCCTGAGACAGACGCAAA